TACAAAAATTTATCTATTTCTATGTACCAAGAATCAGGTAAGATGTCCTAAGGGTTTCAGAAGTATAAGGTAGGTTCTTGGTCTCAAAAAATTCATCTTTTGTGACTGTGAGGCTCTAATGTAAATGGGACAAGGCTTTTAAGTGGTATGATTATAAAGAAGTGATTAATATCAGCTAAATGTTTAAACTAAAATTGACTTTGATTTTCTTTCCTGACCTGAATCTCTAGGAATATATGAGATAGGCAAGACTCCATAGGCCAAAAACAAAACATTCTCCCTAGTTGTGGTAGCTATCTTCTAAGATGGTCCCCAATAATCCTTGCCCTCTATTAACACCCTTGTACACTCCCTTCCCACAATGAATAGGGCTGTCCTGTGATACCAACAGGACACTGCAGAAATGATGGTGTGTGCCTTCTGGGTCTTAGCCATAAAAGACATAAAAGCCACAGGTTCTTCCTTGCTCTCTCTTGGATTACCCACTCTGTGGGAAGCCAGCTGCCATGTCATGAGGATACTTGTGCAGCTCTATGGGAAGACCCTTGTGGTGAGAAACTGAGGCTTCTTGCTAACAGTTAGCACTAAGCTGCCAACCATGTGAGTAAGCCACCTTGAAAGTGAAACCTCCAGCCCTAATCAAGACTTCAAATGGCTGCATCCATTTAAGCTTGCTCTTGAATTCCTGACCCACAGAAACTGTATAAAATGATAAATGCTCATGGTTGTTCAAAAAAACCAAGGGAGTACCAGGAGATGAGGATGGACAGGCAGGTCAAAGCCAGATCAGAGAGCCTTCAGGCTTGGATTTTATCCTGCTAACCAGGATGTTAAAAATTGTACTCCACAATGATCCCTAAATGAAGTCAGATAGGGGAAAGGGGAGGAGAGAGAAGTCCTTAATGGGTTAGGTTCAACTCTTCCCCATCAGAGTTTATACTTCTGGGTGACAATTTCATAGAGGAAAGGATTTGTTGTCTGAAAATGTTTGAAAGGCATTGATGTAAGCAATGAAGAGTCACTGAAAGATTAGAAGCAGGGGACTGACACAATGTGTATTTTAGATCATTCTTGCAGCACAGGATAGATTGGAGGAGAACAAAAGTAGAGGCAAAAAGACCAGATAAGAGGCCATTTCAATACCCTAGCAAGTGATCAGGGGTACTGGAATGATGGCGGTGTAGCAGGGCTGAACAGGAAGAGGCAGCCACCAGAGAGATTAGAAGGTAGAACTGACAGCACAAGGTGAGTGACTGGATGTGCGCAGAGGGTGGTAGGGGCAGGGGTGGATGAGCCAAAGAGATACTGACTCCCAGATTTCTGGCTGGGGCCACCACATGAATCATGGTGCCATCATAGGAAGAGAAAAAGGAAGGAACTGCATCTGGTTGATAGTAACAGAGACCTGACTGCAATGGCTTCAACACAAGAGCTTGTTCTCTCCTGTAAAATAAGTCCAGAGGAAGGCAGTTCCTGGCAATGGTTGAGACCCAAAGATAGCAGGGCAAAGGCTCTGCAATTTTTTTGGCCTTTGCTTCCCAGTCCTGGGCTGGCTGCTGGTGTCCCAATTATCATGCCCATTTTCCAAAAAGCAGCATGGAATAAGGATAGAAGAGTAAAAAGGGCTTTACCTGGAAGCCCCACCCAACAATTTCTACTTTCAACCCTTTTCACATTCAGAATCTTACTTGTTCGAGGTGAGGGGTGCTAGAATATGTACCCTAACTTTACAGACACTAGTATATAGGAGGGTATAATAGAAAAGTGTTGGAGTGGTACTGAGTGAACCAATCTGGTATTTTCCACAGAACAGAAATGATGAGTTTGGCCTTAGTCATGTTGGATCTGAGTGAAGATGCAGAGAAGGCAGTTAGATATACAGGTCTGTGGCACAGGAAAGAAATGTAGGCAGATCCAGATTTTAAGTCATCAGTATATAAGTGTAACTAATGCCATGGAAGGTGGTGAGAATGCCCAAGGAGAGTACAAAGAGAGAGGGGACAAAAATCAAGGTCAGAACCCTGGGGAATACCAATGCTTAAGGGGCAGACAGAAGAAACAGAATCCAGAAGATTGAGAAAGCTGAAGAAGTAGGAGAATCACAAAAGTAGTTTCACAGAAATCAAGGAAGGAGACTACATCAAGAGAGATGTAGTCAACAAAGGTATGGACAGAAAAGCACCGACTGGATTTGCAGCTGGGGAAGTGGGGGATGAAGGGAAAGAGGGTACTAGGGAATGAGAGTGTCAAAGGAGGGTTACTTTAGAATGCAGAGCACTGGAGGTGGAAAGTGATGGGCTACAGGGCATGTGTTCGGCAGACTGCTATATTTTCAGTAACTGGTGCTCCCCATGCTAAGCTAGATGAAAAAGAGGAAGGGTAAGAGCAGACCAAAATTCCACCCTGGCCAACAAGGGAAACACACTGAGTGGGCCCTTGAAGAGACTGTCCAAGATTAGAGCAGGAGCTATGTCAACCCAGGTGGAAGTTTACCATGCCCTGTTGGTAAACTCTAAGAACTCTGTGGCCTAACAGAGTCACTTGGCCAGAGGCCCCCATCCTGAGCACTACCCAGCACTAAGGCTAGGCCTAAAGCTGGCTAACCTCCAGGATCAGGCAAACTGAATTTCAGGGTTTTTACTTTAGTCTAGGGCCACTTGGGAGTTTTCTGGCCTAGAAGTGAGGGCATCTGCCTTATAGTGCTATAGGAGCCTGTGGTCCACTTGTGTTGTTAGATTAATTCTGTATCAACTGAATAATACATATTAACTAAATATATATAATACTAATATATATGATTATACAAATATATAATAATATATAATATAAAATATATAATAATAATATATAATAAATATTTTAGTAATCCTAAAGATAGTAAGTAATTTTCAAAATCAGAAACCCAAATAATGGGGGGAGACAAAGCACAAGAGAATGGATTAGCCTTAGATATAGCACGTTATTTATAAATCTTCCTATATACCATAATGGAGTGTTTTCCCAATGTTTCCTGGAGGGCCTTCCTTTGTGAATTTTGTAAGTTTTACAATATGTGCTCCTAGTTGTATCTTATATATAACCAATTTTCTCTTCAGCTGCTCGATACTCTTTTTCTTTTTAGTTTGGTTTTGGCAGCTGGCCAGTAAGGGGATCCAAACCCTTGACCTCAGTGTTATCAGCATCATGCTCTAACCAAGTGAGCTAACCAGCCAGCTCTTAGCTGCTCAGTTCTAAAAGCCTAGTATTATTATGGTGTTTGACGCCTATGTGCTACCAAAAGTCACCTAGCAGTGGTTTCTAACTTTCTTCATTAGTCAGAGCTAACAACAGTTTGGTTTCTCAAATTAAACATAGCTAGATGTCAACCTGTGGCTTTTTTTGGTTCAACACTAGAATATAAATTCCATCAGGTCAGAGTTCTTTGCCTGTTTACTAGCTTTACTGGGTAGGATAGTGCCTCTTAAAAATCCGTGTCCTTCCAGGAACCTCAGAATGTGACCTTATTTGGAAACAGGATATTAAGATATAATTAGTTAAGATGAGGTCATACTGGAGTAGGATGGGCCCTTAATCCAATTATGACTTGTGTCCTTATAAGAAGAGAAGAGACACAGGGAGAATGCCATATTGATGATGGAGGCAGTGATTGGAGAGATGCATGTACAAGCCAAGGAATGCTCGCAAACACCACAAGCTAGGAAGGGGCAAAGAAAGATCCTCCCCTAAAACCTCCATAGAGAGCATGGCCCTACTGACACCTTGATTTGAAACTTCTAGCCTCCAGAACTATGACACAATTAATTTCTGTTGTTTTAAGCCAACCAGTCTGTGGTACTTTATCACGGCAGCTCTAGCAAACCAATACACTGGTATATTCCAGGCTTGTAGGACAGCATCTGGCACATAGTGGGAGCTCAGTAAAGGAAATATTTGCTGAATGAATGGAAAAACTTTTTTATTCCCTGGGATTGACCTCTCTGTGGCATTTGGCACCTGTTGGTGACTCCCCACTCCCCCTCCCACCCGCCGTCCACACACATATTTCTTGAAACTCTCTCCTCTGTTGTTTTCAATATCACCAGGTCCTCCTGGTTCTGTTTCAATTCATTGGTCTGCTTTTTAATCTTCAGTTCTCTCTTCTTGCTCCATACTCTTTCTATGTAATTTTATCCCTTCTCAGGTTTCAATTCCCCATATATATATACACACACACCAAGGACTCCCAAATCTAAAACAGATTTAACCATGTCACTCCCCTGCTTAAAAAACAGAGATGGTTCTTCATTGCCTACAGATAAATCCAAACTTGTCCACTTCAGCATTTTCTCTGTATTTACCCCAATATGCATGAACCCCTTCCAGGAAAGTAACCTGTGCTCCAGCCACAAAGGACTATTTGAATTTCCCAAGCACACCATGCTTTTAATGTTTCCATATTCCCTCCACCTCGAATGCTACTCATCTCCTTCATCTAGTTTGTGAAATCCTAATTCAGACCAAACACAAGTGCCACCATCTTCTAGAGCCTTTCCTGACCACCACTCAGGCAGAATGGCCCACTCCCACCTGTTTTCACATAGCCTTTGGCTCACAACACCAGTATTTCTTCCTATCCTAATAGGTAGCTTGTTTCCTCGCTGAGCCATGAGCTCTTTAATGATAAAGATCATACCTTATTCATCTCTACAGATCCACTACCTAGCTCAGTGCCTGGGACATGGTATGCTCCAAAAGACTACAAGTTGAATAAACTCATTCAAACCTGTAATTTGTAATCAAATTACAGCTATCAAATGGCAATGGAATCACATCGCAGCACCATTTCAACAAAGCACAATAAAGACATTGCTGCACTAACATAAGTTAGAGAACTACCACAAATGTCAAAATATTGGGCCTAACTGGATGACCTGTTCAACACAAGATGGAATATATATATTCTTCAGAAATAAACCCCAACACAATACGGAAATCCTAGACAGAGAGCATCAACCTCTTACCTCCGAAGAAACGTAGTCTCTTCATCTTCTGTGTTACAGAATTTGTGAGCATGTTTGGCAGCATCAATCACACGGGACCGGTCCCGGGGCCTCATGGGCAATTTCTCTAACTGACAGTCTTAAGGAATGAAGAAAGATTTGGTCACTAGAGTCAATGAAAAATACTCTAAACCAATCAGAAAAACCAACCAGAAAAACTTTTCAGTGGGACCCTTAGCATTGTAATTTTCTACTATAATTACTATGTTTATTGAAGCCTATTATTGGATTTTCTAAGTAAAAATGACTTGGTGTCAGGAGACTTTGGTTTTGGTCCCAGCTCTGTTACTACCCTGGTGATCTCTGGCAAATAACTTCTTTCTTTTTTTTTTTTTTTTTGTCTTTTGTCTTTTTCCGTGTCCGGCAACGGATCGCAACCCTCAGTGTCGCCCCCGCACCGGACCGGGGACCGGCAACGGGATCGCAACCCTCGGCGCCGCTCCCGCGCCTCGCTCAGCCAGTGAGCGGGAACCGGTCCGTATGTGGGATCCAAACCCTCGGGCGGGAGCGCCGCCGCGCTTCCCAAGCAGCGCACTATCCAGTGCGCCACCGGGCCGGCCCGCAAATAACTTCTTTCTTCAGGGACTTTTTCTTCATTTGAAAGATGAGTGGATTATATTATCCCAAAAGTCCTTCTGAGCGCTACAATTCAGATTTTTATGAGTATTTCTGTGATCATAGTACACTTGGTTTTGTTATAATACATTAGAATCAGAAAAGACAATCAAGCATCTTGTCATGCCTATGAGAAAGGCATTGGAAAAATGGGTAAGTCCTAACAAAAGGAGAGAGAGGGTAGATAATATAATATATATGGTATGTAAATGACCCATCCTAGCTGGAGTTTTGATTTGAAAACAATAAAAATACAAAGGAAACAAACCAGGTAGTTATAAAGCAGACAGAATTGATATAATGCAAATTAAGTACCTAAAGGATCACAGAGAAAGTCAAGTGGTCAAAGTGACGCGAGATTAATGGAGGAAGTAGAGAGGGGAGTTAGAGAACACTAGGTGGTTTACACATTAGCTCATTTACTCTTCACAATGAACAGGTGAAGTACGCGTTTATTGTTTCTATTTTAAAGATGAGGGAACTGAGGCTTAGAAAGGGTAAGAGATCTGCCATGCATCTAAGAAGAAGCAGAAGAAGAACTGAGACCCAACTCCACGTGATTCAAAAGCCACACCTCCTTTCTTTTCTTTCCACCATACCTCCTTACCAAGAATTCATTTATTCAATACATTTTTGAGGGCTCTCTATGTACCAGGCACTATCCTAACATTGAGCTAGGGATTCAGAAAAGAACAAAGCAAAGCCCCTGCCCTGATGAAGCTTACATTCTAGTGGAGGAGGCAGAAAAGTTTAAAATATTAATCATATCATATGATCTTGGGTAATGATAAGTGCTAATTTAAAAAACTAGGCAGCATAAGAGGATAAACAGTGATCCCATATAGTGATAAGTGCTACCAAGAAAAAATTAGGCAGAGTAAGAGGACAAAGAGTGACATGGGTGCTATTTTAGATAAGGTCATCAGGGAAGAGTTATTTAAGAAAGTGACATTTCAGCAGAGACCTGAATGAAGTAAGGAAGCATTGAGGGAAAGTTTTGGAGGCAGAAGAAATATCAATTCCAAAGGCCCTGGGGGGCAGGAACATTTCTGACATGATGGAGAAAAAGCAAGAAGGCCACTGTGGCTGGAAGGCAGTGAGCAAGGAGAAGAGTATTAGAAGATGAAGTTTGAGAGGTAGCTAGAGGCCTGATCATGTAGGGTCTTGGCATGGACTTCAGTTTTATTCTTGGTGTTATATGAAACCACTGGTTTTAAGGATTCTGACTGCTGTGTGGAAAACAGACCAGTGGAAACAAAGAGTGGCAGCAGGGAAAACAACACACTTTGGTGCCAACCCAGGTGAGAGATGATGGCAGCTTGGACTAGAATGGAAGTGGTAAATAGCAGACAGATTCTGGAGATATTTTCAAGGAAGCACCTGCAGGATTTGTTGAAGGACTAGGTATGTGAAAGAAAGCGAGGAGTCAAGAATGATTCCAAGTTTTTGGCCTGAGATGCTGTATGAATAGTGGTACAGCTGACTGCAACAGGAAAGACTATAAGAGGAGCAGCTGGAGGGCATGGAGTGGGGGGTCACAAATTCAATTTTGAACATGATATATTTGAGAGGTCCTTAGACATTCAAGTGGAAATATTAGGCAATTGGAGTTTGAGAAGAGGTACAGGTTAAAGATGAACATCCGGGAGTTATCAGCATATAGGTGGCGTTTAAAGCTTGGGAATAGTTGGGATCACCTGGAGTGTGAGTATAGAGTGAGAATAGGTGAGCGTACTGAGTTCTAGAGCCTTGAAATACCTAAAAGTCTGAGAAAGGAAAGAAACCAGACATTGAGAAGAGGCAAAAATCTGAGGTAAGAGGAAAATCAGGAGAGTACGGAGTCTTGAAAGTAAATGAAAATCATGTTTCAAGAAGAATGGAGTGATTGTCTGTCAAATGCCATTAGAGGGGGATTTAAATGTACCAGTTTTAATTGACCACTGGAACTGAACTGGTAGAACAGGTAACACAGAGTTCAGTTAGTAACCTTGACAAATATGGTTTAGATGGTGAGGTGGGAAGGAAAGCCTGCCTGAAGTCGAGAGGGAATGAGAAGTGAGGATGCAGAGACAGCCAATGTAGGCAACTCTTTTGAGAAGTTTTGCTATGAAAGCAGCAAAGAAATAGGGTTAGAGCTGGAGAAGAATATAGGATCAAGGGAGATTTCTATTTGTTCTACAGCGAGAGCTATCACACTATCTCTGCATCCAGCAAAAAGGTAACAAAGTTTTTAGAGGAGGTAGTTCGTGAAGATAATGAATGGATTGAGGAGATAAAGAACATTTTTTTCTGGAGGAGGAGTTTAGTTTTGAAGGAAGTCTGGGTACAATCACAAGGTTAAACAGAAAAAATGTCCTCGGGTTGGGCGGAAATACATAGGGAGGATTTTGACGGAGAAAGCCCACCAATCTTTAAGGAGGGGCGGCTCCCAGATCACAGCCAGAATTTATTCGCCCTCAAGAACCCGAAGTTTCACTCCTTGCTGACACCCCCCAGTTCCCAGCTACTTACCCAGCACCAGGACCATCTGGCCACACAAACAGTAGTAGACGTGGAGGGGCTTCTCGCCGTCGTCATATTCCTCCCGGTCACGGGTGTCGGAGCAGACCACCGACCGGGACACTACCTTCGGCATAGTTTAGAAAAGCAGCCTGGAAACTCAACGCACAGGAAAGGGGTCGCCCAGAAATAACGTCACAAGCACACGTTGTGCCTTTTGCTTTCAGCAACGCTGGTCACGTGTCAATACGAGTCACATAAACTTCCTGGGCAGTCGCATTACGCTCAGACGCACGGGGCCTGCCCTGAGCCTCCCGGAACGTCTTTTGCCTCGGCCACGTTAGCTGGGGCTGCTTTAGTTGTGACATCCTTAATATTATTTAAATTATTTATTCATACTTCCATACAAATTTTAGGTATACCTCTAAACATGATTTTGATTTTAATGGCAGTATTCAGGATGAATACCTTGAGTATAGTTTTTTTGTAATACAGGTCTACTAGTGAGAAGAATGGCATTCTTTTATAGAGAGGATAATACTCCACTTAATTAAGGCTCAAAGCGAGTGTTTCCTATCATGAAAATCAGTTGCAAATATTCATCTGTTAAAGCTTCTCCATAATTAGATTTTATGTATTTCATCTTTGAAAATATTTTTTCACGCATATAAGTACTGCCCTATACTGGTATCAATCCACAAGCATATGATTTTAACTGAGCATATTCATCTTTTAGAAGGCATTTATAGAATTCTGTTAGAGTCTTATACTGATATTTGCATTTTAGCATGTCATTACATTGCAGAATATTTCCACTTTCGGGCCGGCCCGTGGCTCACTCGGGAGAGTGCGGTGCTGATAACACCAAGGACACGGGTTAGGATCCCATGTAGGGATGGCCGGTTGGCTCACTGGGTGAGAGTGGTGCTGACAACACCAAGTCAGGGGTTAAGATCCCCTTACCGGTCATCTTTTAAAAAATTAAATAAATAAATAAATAAATAAGAATATTTCCACTTTCATATTACTGCCATAACAAATTACCAGAAACTTAGTGGCTTAAGACAGCACAAATTTATCATCTTAGTTTTGGAGATCAGAAGTCCAAAATCAATTTCATTGGCCTAAAGTCAAGGTGTCAGCAAGGCTGGTTGCTTCTGGAGGTTCCAGGAGAGAATCCATTCTTTGCCTCTTCCAGATTCTATTGCCATCATCCCTTTGCTCCTTGGGAAGTGGCTGCATCACTCCAATCTCTACTTCTGTCATCACATGGTCTTCTCTCTGAACTGTAACTCCTACTTCATCCCTGTCATAAGGACTGGTGGGATTCCATCAGGCTCATCCATTTAATACAGGATAATTTCCCATCTCAAGGTTTTTAATATAGGGCTGGCCCATGGCTCACTTGGGAGAGTGTGGTGCTGATAACACCAAGGCCACGGGTTTGGATCCCTATATAGGGATGGCCAGTTAGCTCACTTCGGAGAGCGTGGTGCTGACAACACCAAGTCAAGGGTTAAGATCCCCTTGCCAGTCATCTTTTATAAAAAAAAAATTTTTAAAAAAGATTCTTAGTATGGGGCTGGCTGGTTAGCTCAGTTGGTTAGAGTGCAGCCTTATAACCCCAAGGTCATGGGTTTGGATGCCCACACTGGCCAGCCAGAAAAAAAATAATCTTAACGTAACCACATCTGCAAAGTCCCTTCTGCCATATAAGGTAAGATATTCACAGGTGCCAGAGATTAGGACACGGAGATGGAGGGGGTGAATGCGTTATTCAGCCTGCCACACCATGCTTATTTTCCCCCTTGATTCAGTGATTAAGCAGGTAGTGAAATCCTATATTTAAGGCCCTAATTTTCCTGTTTCTCTAAACTTTGATATCCCTGCCCCCTCTCCTTATGTCCTTGGGGTTGTAGATGCAGAACATACTATTACTTGTGTTGCTAAGAGCACAGACTGTAACAACTGTTGCTTCCTTTAAGTGATTCTCTTGATTTATCATCTGAGATTACTGGAATCAAGAAAGATCTTTCAATTTTATTTTCTGCTGTTTCTTTGTTGCCATTTGTATTAAATTTTCTAGAATAGAAGTGGAAACTGTAGTAAAATAAAAGTCTTTGCCTTCACTGGATAACAGAATGATAGTTTATTTGTTCCTCCTGCTGCCCCCCAACCCAAAATAGTCTAGGAAAATCAGAATCTATTCTGCATTTAAATATCTTCATGCACGAAATTCCACAATTTCCCTAGTCATATATTCCTATATTTCAGAGTCCTCCCTTTTAGGAAAATTCTCAAATCCTCACCTATGGACAATTTGGAATCTCTTATCTTCCCTGGGTTTGCCAAGTCCTGTGAAAACACACAACAGTATTGCTAACACACTTTTCTTAACATTGAAAAGGACCTCTCATTTCTTGACCCCTGCTCTTGGGTGGGGGTGGTGCTTGGCTATGAAGAGGGTATTTCTACAAGATGTCAAGGTGAGAAGGGGGTGGAAAGAATGCTTGGCCAACTGTGCTATAGTTAGTATGTTCTAGCCTGATAATCGTCTGTGCTGGAAAACAATCTTCTGTGTTGCTGCTTGCTATGACAACCCTGCTTCAGATGAGGAATGTGGGGGCAGGCACAGTGTTCCAGCAATGCAATTGCATTCTGCAGTCAGAGAATGCTATTCCTATACAGGTGCCATGGGGCTTCCAAACTACTTTGGTTCATGCTCCTCAAGCACATCTGATATCTTCTGGACATCTTCATGTGGACGTGTCACCAGTACCACGAACTCAGTCTCCCAAACTTGTCCCTCGCTGTCCCCTAATTCTTTTAATGGCACCTTCAAATCCCCAGTTATCTTGTAGCTTAGAGCTTTGGCCATTGTTGACTCCTTCCTATCTCTTGTCCCCATATTCAATCTGTTGCTAAGTCCTCTCCATTCATCCTTTGTAACTGGCTGGTTCAGTATCTCTCACCTACAATACTGCAAGAGTCACCTAGCTGCTCTCCCGGAATCAGTCTCTGGTTACCACAGCCCTAATGATGTCACCTTCTGCCCAACCACTTTCCAAGGAATCCATTAACCTGGCATTTAAAACTCTCCATGATTTAACCAAAACATACCTTTCTGATATTTTCAATAATTATTAAATGTGTGTTTTGCTTACCTTCTAAGTTATTTGGGGTTGACCTTTTAAAATTCTTCTTTAAAGCTGTTATTGCTTTTGCAGGTCCACAAATTGTGACCCTTCCCTGAAACTTGCAGCTTTTCCACGTGCATCTTACTTTTACTTCAGACTCACTACCCTTCCAATTCTCCGCAGTCGCATATTCTCACACCTTGGACTCTTCTGAACATATACTAGCTGCTCGTTGAATTGCCGAGGGGAAATGTGGTTCCAGAGCCGAATTGTGAGTGCCCAGAGCAAAAAACCCTACTCTGCTTGCCTTAACCTCTCGTCCCCTCCCCCAGGACACACACCACCACCTTATTGTGCTTTGGGGTGATCATTGGCCTAAATGCTGAGATCCGAATTCCGCACATTCATCCCATAGAAAAGGGACCCACAACCCCCGTTCCTAGTCAGGTCCGATTTATTTTTTGGTTTTCAGTGATTTTTAACCAGTCATCCACCGCCCCCGTCTCCTGTGTCAGCAGGAGGCGTGCACTCTAGAGTTCCCGCTTTTTGAGAACCGGTTTTGCCTCCGCCCACTTTTTCTTCCTCTAGTTCGAGACTTCCGATCTCCCCCCCTCCCCTGACCTTCCCCAGCCATAGCGTGTATTTTAATAAATGATCTGGACTCAAAAGAAAAAAAAAAAAGAAAAAGAAAAAGGAAAGGAAAAAGCAGAAAACTTCCCAGGGTTCGTCGTAGAGTTAGCAAGTGGAGATGGACCCCGTTCCACCACTAAACCCTTGCGAATTCTAGGCTTTCGCTTGCCCCTCAGCTCGCCTCTAGCCCTTGACCACCTCGCTCCGCTCCCTGGCTCCCGCTAGCGTTTAATGACCTAAGCAACTTTCGTTCCACACACACGCACACCCCCGCCCCGTCTTGGTACGGTCCGGCGTTCGGCGTTGCACCCCCTCTCTTTCCTGTCAGGTTGGTTCGGCCCCGGTCTTCTCTGGGGTGGTGCTTAGCCGGCGCCAGACCGACCCTCGACTTCGGCGGCGAGGCAGTGCGGTTCCTCCGGGGGCTTCCTCCTCAGCTTCTTCAGTTTCTTCAGCCTCCTCGGCCGCCTCACCCTCCGCCGGGACCCAAGACTCCGGTGTATGCCCCACCCCTGACCCCGCTAAAGATATGTCCACTCCGGCTCGGCGGCGTCTCATGAGGGACTTCAAGAGGTAAACGGTCAGGGACCCCCGAGGGGCCGGGGGCTGCCAGCCGGGGCACAGGGCGGGTTCCGGTCGGGCCGGGGGTGAGGGGAGGGCTCAGGAGCAGCCGGGAGCGAGTGCCGGACTGGGGCCCCCTGTCTCCCTGAAGGTTGCAGGAGGATCCTCCAGCCGGAGTCAGCGGGGCTCCCTCAGAAAACAACATAATGGTTTGGAATGCGGTCATTTTCGGGTGAGTCTGCTTTTCCCGCGGTGGCGAGAGACGGGGGACGGGAGGCGGCTCGGTCTGCCCCCCTGGGGCAGGCCCTTGCGAAGGTGGAGGGTGAAAGGGAACAGGTTTGGGTCTGGCTGGGCCTAGGCGCCTCCCCAGAGCCTGTGCCTCGATTAGTTCTGTCCCCGCTGCCAGGGGAACCGATTGGGGTTCGAGGGGGCGGGGCGGGGAGTGGTAGCGGTTAGGCGCGGCGGCCTGCGCGGTGTTTCTGAGCCCCAAACATCTATCTGTAGTGACTTTCCGACCCAGGCCACGGTGGCTGACCTGAGGCGGAGGTGGCAGAGCTGGGAATAGCCACTTCCTAAGATGTGGAGAAGGGAGCCCTTTAAGCGGGAACTGTTTTTCTTTGTGTTGCAGGCCCGAAGGGACCCCGTTTGAAGATGGTAAGAAAAAGTTTCTTTATCCACCTTTCAGGAGACTGATCATCTGGGGCAAGGTTCCCAATCATCCTGGAAGTGCCTCCCATTTAGGAACCTGCTTCTGCCTAGCCTCTGCCTACTAAAGGCTTGAGTGGAATCCAGTGTGTGGCAGGTTGTTCTGGATGTTGTCTGCTTGACTAAAACTGCACCCTTTTTCTTGCTTTAAAAAAAATCTGGGTAAGGCAGTCACTTT